ACTGACTTCGAACCACTGATCTGAATAAAATTCTAATCGATTTTTATTAAGTAAATAATCGATTTTCGGCCACTGTTCATCATCATCTTCCTCGGGTCAGTTTTAACATTATCATTTTTTTTCACCAAACTTCAATTTAATTATATAAAAATGTTCTCCAATGTTCACAGATCATTTTAGAGTCATTAATTTGTAATTTTAACAGCAATTTAATTGTTTATGATTCTTGGTTCTTCAAACATGTCAAACACAAAACTCAACCAAACGACCGTTTAGGAACGTAGAAACGATCTATACAAACATTCTAGTCACTAGATATATCTACGGGCTTACCTCCAAGCTTATCGAACGTTTTGAGAATTTTCCGACGAAACTTCCGGCGACGATAACTCCCAACTCCGGAGACTTCGGTGGCAACCAACAATATCAGATTGCTCTCCTCACTCTTATGAACACAATGGTACTAAAATTTTAAGTTTTGGTGAAGAATGAGAATGTTGATGATACTCTTATATAGGGAAGGGAAGGAGAAGGAGACGCTGTTGTTGCTGAGTCATTGACGATTCACGCTAGGCTTAGTGCGCTGGGAGGCGCCGTTCGCACAGTGTCCTGATTGGGACCAATTTTGGTTCCAGTTGGGGTACACTTTTTGGTCAAACTTTCTCCAAATTGAAATCCGTTTGCACCGTTGCGATCAGACAGTCGAATTCTATTCAACGACATACTTTTCATAATTATTTGTAATACTTTTTCTGACATCATATTTTTTGGGTGGTTGACTTTGATAGAGTAAAAATTGGTTTAATTGACTTTTCTCATAAAAGGTTCTCATATTTAATTCATATCAATTATTCTCATGATTTATTTTAACAAATCATTTAAATATTTACATTATAAACAAATTTTTCATTTACTCTTGATTTGGGTCTGTACTCAGGTTTCCAATCAAGACCACGCAAAAAGTCAATATATTGGATTTATCTCTATGAGATTTATCTAGAGTGCGATAATAGATATCAAAACATATTTCGTATCGGCCCAAAGCCCAACAACAATTTATTTTAATCAAAACAAATTTGTTTAAACGAATAATTATTTAATAATAATTCTAGGGTATGTTTCGGGGCGTTCCATTTCTCCCCCCCTTAAAAGAAATTTCGTCCTCGAAATTCTTCTTAGGTTCAACGTTCAACGTTTTGTAATGATCTCACCGATCATGACCGTTTCATATTCACATGGTTATGTCACTATCTTTCGGATACGTATTCTCAAGTCATTGATTTCACCAAACTCGTTCAATCTTCGAGAGATTAACAATTTTTGATTGAGCAAGGTCTTCACTGATCCTTTGGTATTTATGACAAAAATTCCTTCATAGTTTATAGTATTTCATACTTGACATATAACTTCGTTCAGTTACGAGTCTTATCTGTACGTCCTTGGTTAACAGAATCGATTGAAAATTTCTTCAATACTCTTGAATGGTCTTTGATAAGCACAATTGGAGTTTGTTTCAATTCATACGTCGTAACGTAGTCTTTCAATTACTCAAGGGGTCGTTGTCTTCAGGGCAGTAACCATTTGACTTTTCATCTTGGATTTGAACGTATTTCAGGACAGCGAATCTAACTGTTCATGAGTCTTGATATGTTATATCGTCAGCAGACTGTATTATTAGTGAACACGTCAATGTCAGTAGGTAAATTGAATCCATCTTTGCTGTACAAATTTTGACCGAGGATAACTACCCTTTCTCTAAGATAACTATCCTCTAGTTTGGTTTGTAGATCCTGTACGTACGTTTTAACCCAGGCCACCGAATATTCATAATTATACCCGCAAGGCCTATTTCTAAGCTATCTTAGAGATCTTATAGATAGTCTTAAAAACCAACATCAACCTAGGTATATCTAAGAGTTCTTGTAAATATCCTTACAATCCAAATCATTTCATAATCATCAAAATATACATTTCAACTCATAATTTAATCCTCAATAATCAGTGGTTTCATCAAGTCATAATCATCATAATAATCATTCACCAGAATCATCAATCAACATAACATTCGATAGTAAATAGCGGCCTAGCTTCGAGTGTTAACACTCGAACTTACCGTCATGCATCACATAAATTTTTTTTTTTCAAAAACATCATTTTTATTGTGGTAAATCATTTTTATAATGATCGTAATCAATTGGTATCAAAAATAGGATTTTAGAGCTCAAAAATAGCAATTTCGGGCAAATTTTCGGATCAGAACTTCGGGGTATCGATCCAGCCCTCTGGATCGATCCAAACTATGAAAAATCACTCCCAGGTGATCGATCCAAGCTCTGGATCGATCCAGACAGTGGTGTTTCAGCCACTGTTCATCTTCTTCTTCGTTCGGGTCCAATTTTGGAAATATCGTTTTTAGTTATCGAACTTCAACGAAACTATATAGAGATGTTCTCCCAGGTTCATAGATCATTTTGGAATCATTAATTAATAGTTTTAACATCAATTTCATGGTTTATGATTCTTGGTTCTTCAAGCATGTCAAACACAAAACTCAACCAAACGATCGTTTATGAACGTAGAAACGATCTATACGAACATTCTAGTCACTAGATATATCTAAGGTCTTACCTCGAAGCTTAATGGAGGTTTTGACGATATTTTGGCGAAACTTCCAGCGAGGTTTGTGGCCTAGCTCCGGCGACCTCTAACTCTTTGGACAGCACCACTCTACTCTCCACACTCTCAGGGACAAAATGGAAGAAGAAATAAAGAGAATGGTGAAGAAATGGGAGAATTGGGTTCTTTATATAGAAGAGGAGAAGAGAAGAAGACAGGGAAGATGAGCTGTTGCTGCGTAGGATTCCCAATTCACGTTCTCATTCGGCGGATATGTGATTTTTAGGCGATTCTGCACGTTACTTCTCTGATTGGGACTAATTCGATCCCAATCGGGGTACACTTTTTGGTCCAACTTTCTCTGAATTGAAATCCGTTTGCATCGTTGCGATCGTACAATTAAACTCTATCCAACGATATAATTTTTATATTTATTCGTTATACTTTTTCCGACATCATACTTTTGGTGTTTGACTTTGACAGAGTCAAAATTGATTTGTTTGACCTTTACTAAAAATAATGCTCATACTAAATTCATATTATTTATTCTCATGATTTATTTCAATAAATCATTTCAAAGTTCATAAACAAATTTCTTCATTTATCCTTGATTTGGGTCTGTACTCAGGTTCCCAATTAAGGTCACACAATAAGTCAACATTTTGGATTTATCTCTATGAGACTTATCCTGATGGTAATATTGTATATATAAAACACATATTATTTTGGCCTAAAGTCCAACAATAATTTATTTTAATCAAAACAAATTTGATTAATGGAATAATTATCTTATTAATAATTTTAGGGTATGTTTTGGGGCGTTACAGTCGTATTGATCGGAAAAGCACAAGTGGCACATGTCAATTCATAGGTCATGCACTAGTGTCTTGGTCATTTATGAAACAACACTCCGTCGCCCTATCCACCGCCGAAGCGGAATATGTGGCTATGGGTAGTTGTGTTGCTCAAATTTTATGGATGATGCAAACACTTAGTGACTTCAATTTAAAATTTTCAAAAGTGCCTATTTTTTGTGATAACTCAAGTGCAATAAATATTTCCAAAAATCCCGTTTTGCATTCTAGAACTAAACATATAGAAATAAGACATCATTTCATACGTGATCATGTTGCAAAGGGAGACATTCAAATTGAATATGTAAATACACTTGAATAACGTGCTGACATTTTTACAAAACCATTGGATGAAAAACAATTTTTACATATTTGTCGGGAAATGGGAATGCTTGAATTAAAGTGAAATTTAAGGCTCTTATTATCCCATTACATCATAAAAATAAAATGATCAAGTTCAAATGCTCAAAACACGCGTCTAGAGGTCGAAATAAAACATTAAGCTGAGGCACGGTACCCTGACGGTACCTCGATCCCGTCCTAAATAGGTACCGCCAAAGAAGAATGAGATTTTGGCGTTACACGGCACCTGGACACGGTATGGCATACCGTATATATGGTACAAAGGTACCGTTAACACAGTACCTAGGTACCGACCGTCTTGTCGGGTCAATCTTCATTAAAACCCTAGTTTTCATTCTATTTTTCCACTTTCGGTTCAACAAGTTGCAACGACCACTCTCCCGGCGTCTTCTCTTGTTTCTCTCTCCCGTACGTCGTTTGTCTCTTCAAAGGTAATTCCTCATCCAAATTCTTCAATTTCTTCAAACATTAGGTTCAATTTCATCAATACTCTCCTCAATTCGTGCATTAGGTATAAATTTCCCCATTTTCGTCCAATTTTACCAATTCTCTCAAATCTCCAAAAATGAGTGAAATTGTTTCCAATGTTCAAACCAATGCTCAACCCGATGTTCAAGATGGGTTCAAGGCTTTCGCCGACCCACACATCATTGAGGGGAGAACTCTAAAACAAGATGACATCCCGGTTCTCGTTCTTGAACTCATTCAAGAACAAGGTTGGAGTTTCTTTCTTTCACTTCAAGCCCCCGTTTACCCGGAACTTATTCATCAATTTTATTCTTCAATGAAATATCATCCCCAAGACCCTTCCATTACCTAGGGCGTCAAGGAGTCTCCACCTATTGTAAAAAGGGGTGGATTACCGACTCACGAGATTTTAACTTCGATTCTTGCCTCCGAGTGCTAAATAACATTGCCCTTGACCATGTCTTTGAGGACCCGCACTACTTTCTTCGTAGGCCAAATGTTCAAAACATACCCGCAAATAGGTTCATCCTCCTCAAAATCCTCAAAGAAAATGTCATCCCGGTCCTTAACAAAGATAAACAAGTTGGGGTTTATGAATGCACTCTCCTATATTGGCTCCTCACTCACAAGAAAATCAATCTCCCTTCCATCATCCTTAAACACATGCATGAATGCTCCAATCGCCTAAACAAACCCTATGGCATGCTTCTTACCCATATTTTCACCAAGAGAGAAATTCTTTAGTTGCGCCCTTCTCCCTTCCATCATCCTTAAACACATGCAGGAATGCTCCAATCGCCTAAACAAACCCTATGGCATGCTTCTTACCCATATTTTCGCCAAGAGAGAAATTCTTGAGGTGCGCCTTTCTCGCGTCCGCTTTCTTGACGCAGAGTGCCTTGGGTATTGTGGCCTTGTAAAGATTGGAGATGAGTATTACATAAAGAAGGAGTTTCAAAATCTTGACGAGGCGACACGAGCGGAGTATGGTCCTCAGCGTTCCATGTCATCTTTGCCTTCCACTTCACGCGCACCCCGGGCTGAAGCCGAAGAAAATGCAAACAAGGAGGTCCCTGCTCGTGTTCCTTGGGTCAAACCCTCAAAGTCGGCGTCTCATGTTTCCTCGGCCTCTCTCATGCATCGTTACTCTCACATGGCTTCCACTTCCAAAAATCCCTTTAAGAAGTTCAAGAAATTCATCCTCAAGAACGTGGTGGCTCCGATGAGGAAACTTCAAGAAAGCCTCGATGATCTCTCGGATCGGATGAAGAAGATGGAGGATCGTGAGAATCGCCAAAAGCACAACGAGGATCGTGCTTATCATGTCTTATGTTTAAAAATCGTACTTATGCACTTTTATGATTGAAAACCCATTTGTTATGATTATGCTTATGGTGTGATGCTTATGGTTTACTTGAATGCTTATAATTCTTGCCATGATGAATGCCTATGTGTTGAAACTCGTTTTTTTTTACCCCACCTTTTTGAATGATGCCAAAAGGGGGAGAAATATTAGGCTTTCACGTGCATACATTTAGGGGGAGTTTTTGTCAAAATATCACGTGCATCAACTTAGGGGGAGTTTTAAAATCAATATATGCTTTTCACAATATGTTTGTGCGTTTGATTATTATATTCGAAAGCCTTATTTGTCAACATCAAAAAGGGGGAGATTGTTGGCCTTGAATGCCGTACCCCGTAACCGTTTTGATGTGCCAAATAAGTCTTCCAAATGTTACTAACATCATTTGCAGGAAGAAAACAAACGCTAAACCTCTATTAGCTTGTTTAGCATCACCGAGAAATACTCCTACGAGTTTAGAAATTATTGTGTAAAGGTAATGATATACTTTAATGATTTACTTATGCCCTTTCACTCAAAAATTATTTTTAAAATGTCAAATATATTCTTAGTTGGGGCTATTTTGAAAACGGAACACGAAAAACGAGTTTTTGGAAAATTTACACAGGTCTAACGGTACGTGGCTACCGTGTACACGGCACCCGGGTACCGCCGGTATCCAAGCGAACGTACCGCTGTACGTTTCAACCAAGTGTTACACGGTACCCCCCTACCGTGTCACGGTACCCGGGTACCGGACGGTGGGCAGAGACGGTTGGCCACCCCCGTCCTAACCAGGTACCGCCAGAGGCGAACCAATCTTTTGGCTTACACGGTACCCCCAAACGGTAGGCCATACCATGGGTCACGGTACCTGGGTACCGGACGGTACTGACCCTACCGTGAAGGGTACCGGATCCATTGTAATCACTGTAGAAAATTGCCAATTTAAATTCAAATCACCCCTAATCACTTCCTAACGGCTTTTAACGTTAAAAACTCAAATTTTAACATTCCAAACTCCTATATAAACCCCCTCTAAGTCTCATTTTATGAACAACAACTTCCCAATCAAATCTAAAGCCTATTTCTCTATTCTTGAGTGTTCCTAAAGCTTTGTTCTTATTTTTCTTACTCTTTTGAGTAAAAAGCTTTCATTATTACACTCACACACAAGGGCATTTGTGTTTCATTATTTTATATCTTGCCTATAGGCTTTTGTTGTTGTTGATTTAAATCTTTTGTTCTTCTCCTACCCAATTCATATTTGTTATTATTTTGGTAGAGAAGCAACACCTATCTTTTATTGATTTGTAAAAGGTGTGGATAGCGTTTAAATCCTCATTGTAAGGTTGAAGATAGCCTTAAAATCTTCGGTTGTAAACAGTTGAGATAGCCGTAGTAAAATCTCATTTTCTTATTGGCAAGGGTTGTTTGCCAAACCTCGTTTGAGTCTTCTTAGTGAAGCCAAACAAGTAAGTGGAGGTTAAATCCTTGAGGAGGAGCCTCGAGGTTTTGGAGTAGGGAGTTCTCGAACCAGTATAAAATCGCTTGTGTCGTATTTTTATCTTTTATATTTTTTTTGCTCTTTTTCCGCTACTACTTTGCGCATAAGTTTTTGTTTTTACGAAAAACTTGCAAACACCCTAATTCACCCCCCTCTTAGGGTGTAAACCGACTTTCATGAATGGCTCCAACGATGATTGAGTTCGGCGGCGTGGGCAATCCCATCGATTGAGTTTGGCAGCGATGGTCCTCAATGGTGGCGGGGATCCCAACGGATGCCGTGTTAAGATCTGAGCATCGAGTGATCTGAATCTTTTCACCCTCCCTTTGCAACGCAGGGAGATACGACGAGAAGAGATACACTCCAATTTGAGGAGCAAAGGCAACGGGAATCGAGGCACTCCATCGGCTAAAATTTGGAGAGATTTGACTTTTTTACTCCATTTCTTCTTGGATTTCTATCATGGATCTGCCCAAATTGTGGGTACGTTTCATGAACATAATGAAGGAATTAAAAATATTTGGCCTTCTGTTTGGGTCCCATGGTCGGCGCCAAAATGATGGTGTAAATTATCGACCGATATATCATTTTTAGCCCGGTAAAAACGATAAACTAGTCTAAGAAATACACCAAAATATAAACACAGAGATTTTGATGTGGAAACCCAAATCGTGAGAAAACCACGGGCCTTTTTCGGCGGTACCTTGCCAACAGGGAATATTTAATGATATCGGGGGTGTGTACAAGGTACATGAAATGGGCTCGGAAGCCATTAATGGAATCTTCTGTCCCAAACAAATCCTCAATCTGAACATTATGGCCACAATCTCCCCCATACCCCCTACCTACTAGAGTGCTCTTAAAGATCCTAATTGGTACAATGCTATGCTAGATGAATATAATGCCGTGATAGATAATCATACATGAGATTTAGTACCCCCCTCCCTCGACCAAAACATTATCTCCGGGAAATGGCTCTTTCGCCACAAACTTGGCCCTACAGGTGAACTGTCCAGGTACAAAGCTCGATGGGTTAAATATATTATTACTATATTTAATATTATTGTATATTGTATATTGGTAGCTACCATATTTGTATAGTCGGCGGTACCTTGCCAACGGGGGATTTTTATTGATATCAGGGGTGTGTACAAGGTACATGAAATGGGCTCGGAAGCCATTAATGGAGAAAGTGTGGAGCTTCAAGCACTTGAAGAAGAAGAAAAATATACTCTAAAGATATTTAGAGAGAGAAACAATTGGGCAGGGAGAATGGAAGGAGTTGGCCTCCCTTAACATTGAGGGGGAGCCCTCCTTTTATAGGAGTAGCTGGAGCATCTACGGAGGAATATTCTATTATTCCTCCACTTTATTAAACAGGCCCGGTTTGACTGTTCTTCGTAAATAATTGGGAAATGTGGGCCGAGCCACGTATTATTTCCCATCAAGAAGTCCTCCAATTTTTTAAGTTGTGAGAATCATCAACTTAAAAAAGTAAATAAGTCCTCCGAGTGCTATCTTCAGTCTTCATACTTTGGATTCTTGGCCGGTTGATATTATTGCTAGTCCTCCGAGTCTTCATTAGTTCTCTAATTTCTTGAATCAGAAGTTTTTCCTGCGAAAAATAATATGTACAACTTTTTTTTTGACCGGCCTATGTCGTGCTCAAAAAATTATTATCTTTACTGAGGAGCTCGGTGTTAGGTGATTAAAATTCGCATGAATTACTACCGTAACGAGAGTGATGTCAGTTTGATAAAGCAACGATGCTTCGAATCGGGCGTCCCTGGTATGAGCTTTGCTCATTTCTTTGCTGAAACCGATGTGCAATCGGTGTACCCAATTCAATTGGGCTCAGGCGTATTGGAAAATATGTGTAGGACCGGTGTGAGACCAGTGTACCAGTTCGACTGGGTCACATATTTTCTTTATTATACTGAGCAAGACAGTGTAGTAACCAGCGTGCCAGGCCAGGCCTGTGTCTCAGTCTTCCTATAAGATAATGCTGCTGGCCGGGCCAGATCAACATTGGAGAATGAACCATGTTGGATGGTTCCGAGCCCTCTCCAAGGCCCAAAATGCACCCTTCTTCCGGGTGATTAAGTCTTTTAATGGCCCTTTGATATTCACTGTCCCGGGAAGGCCTTAGCTCACCCCCCCCTCGTTCAAGTCTTCCCTGAGAAGGGGGAATCCGAACCGGTCGGAATAGGATGCATCACGGTGGACGACCCTCTTCTATTTGTTTTAATGGGCATCTTTTAGTCCCCAATCAGTTTGCCAGTCTCGGCTGATTCCCCGATGCCGGTCAAACATCATGAGCCCGTGTAAGTACGGTTCGAACCTTCTTCCAGGTCCAGCCCTCTTGCAGGCATACCCCTCTTCCAGTGCCCCTCTTCCGGGTTTATCTTTTTTTATTTTATACTGAGCAAGACCAGTGTAGTAACCGGCGTGCTAGGTCCGGGCCTGTGTCTCAGTCTTCTTTGAAAATTGATAATTGATCCCGTCTGTATGCGCCAAGTCCACCTCGTTGGTTTGAAGGAGATGTGGAGTATGAGCCTTTTATTTTGAAATGACCACACGTCCAAATGCATGTATCAAAGCCCATGGGTGGGCCATACCCACATGTGAAGTAATGTCATGCATGCTCCTCAATAATCAATTTCGCATTCTCTATTCTACTTTTGCATTTGTCCAGAGCATCAATTTTAACATCCCACATGCATCTTCCTCCGTTGTCTCGTTCTTTTGGATGAGAGATTGAATGAGCTGGAATCCAAATATCCAAGGGAGGCAGCAACTGAAGGCACTAGCGCAAGAGATGGAATTTTACAGCGGCGATGGGGGATGGATCTCGGCAGCTTAGCAGTGGTGACGGTAGGTTGAGATTCGACCAAGGCGGACATCGCTAGCGGCGACGTCAGATTTTATTGGAACACCCCCCGAAATGGCGACAACCATTCTTCAACCACGGAAAGAGTCCAACGTCGATTAGAATTTTTAGACCATAGCGGTAACCAGCGGCCCAGCCGAGTCCGTCATCGTATTGTTTCCCCCAAGTCGAAAGGGGGGAGATCGAGAGAGGATCCTTCTAAGCCGGCGGTGGTGAGCCTCGACCATAACTGTGGTTTAAGTAACCACGGTGATGGCAGGTCTACACAATTGGTAATGACGTCGGTGTGTCTCAATATTAGTTGGGATGGCCATCAACAATTAGGCCTTCAATTTGGGCAACAGCACTGGTGGTGGTCAGGTGCTACGGACGGTGGATTTTAGAGAATGGATGGTGGATTTCACCTTCGAGAGATGATGGCCTTCAATTTAGTAATCCACCTTCCTAATATAAACACCAGTTCGTCCATGGTAGACTCCACTTGCGGACAAAGGCCAACGGTGGCGGCAATGGTTGAGTGTTACAGTGGCTGTGGGTTTGAGCAGCGGCGACGGCGGCACCAGCGGCGTCAACGGTGGCGAACATCCATGGGAGTGTGGGTGCATGGATACCCCGCAAGAGCCGATGATAGATCTCCCTCAAAATGACGAGTAATCTTTTCCCATGATGAAGTTGATTTCAATTGAGAATGGAGGGGATCCACTGCCGGTGGCAGATTTCTTAGCCAAGCGGCTTTCGCTGTGAAGATTTATAATCAATCAACATCGATGATAACTTCATCTCCTGGCGCTAGATGTGGACGGCGGTGAATGGCTCCAACGATGATTGAGTTCGGCGGCGTCGGCAATCCCATCGAATGAGTTCGGCGGCGATGGTCCTCAATGGTGGCGGGGATCCCAACGGATGCCGTGTTAAGATCTGAGCAGCGAGTGATCTGAATCTTTTCACCCTCCCTTTGCAACGCAGGGAGATACGACGAGAAGAGATACACTCCTATTTGAGGAGCAAAGGCAACGGGAATCGAGGCACTCCATCGGCTAAAATTTGGAGAGATTTGACTTTTTTACTCAATTTCTTCTTGGATTTCTATCATGGATCTGCCCAAATTGTGGGTACGTTTCATGAACATAATGAAGGAATTGAAAATATTTGGCCTTCTGTTTGGGTCCCACGGTCGGCGCCAAAATAATGGTGTAAATTATCGACCGGTATATCATTTTTAGCCCGGTAAAAACGATAAACTAGTCTAAGAAATACATTAAAATATAGACACAGAGATTTTGACGTGGAAACCCAAATCGTGAGAAAACCACGGGCCTTTTTCGGCGGTACCTTGCCAACGAGGGATTTTTATTAATATCGGGGGTGTGTACAAGCACTACGTCAAAAATAGAGGCTGACAACTGTTTATTTTAGTAGTCTATAATTGATGTTTTCAGTAGCCTTCCGAGCAGCTGTCTGATGGGATGCTAGACCTCGGTTTAGAACAATTAGGCAAATCAAAATCTGACACCGGTGTTTTGTAGCTTAACACAACTTTGAACATTTGTTGTATGCTCGTGATTGAGTCTACGATTTTGGATATACTCAGACAACAGTTTTATGTTGTTGTATATAGAAGTTCAGACAACTACTTAAAAACAACTGTCTTAATTAATTGTGTATAGACTATTACAACAATGGTTTATTGTAGTCGGGATTGATGCGGTTACACTATGTTTTCCAGGTGTTGTCTAATGTTCTATTAAACAGCTGCTCGGAAGACTACTATAAGTAATTCCATCAAACCTCTTCTACCTTCTGTTGTATGTAGAACGTTGAGACTATTACTTTGGTCTTACCTTAAACAACTTTTTTTTAGTTGTATGCCGTCTATTAACACTCCAGTTTATGTTCGTTGTCCTTTAAACATTGACACTATACTTCCAAACAATAGTTGAATCTGCTACCAGACAGCTGCTCGGAAGACCACTATAAGTATTTGCTTCAAACAACTATTACGTTGGGTTGTATGTATAATGTTCAGACTATTATTTTGGTCTTATCTTAAACAACGATTTGTTTTAGTTGTACGACATCTATAAACAATACTGTTTTGGATCGTTGTCGTACCACCCATTCAAACAATATTTTGGGAGAGTAGTCGAAATTGTTATCAGACAACTGCTTGTAACACCACTGAAAACATTAGCATTAGAGAACTGTTCTTTTTTGTGGTATATCTAAAACTAAGAATACGATTATGTTTCATTTCATACAATTGCAAGTACTAGATGTCTAGCAGGTATTACCTCTACTAGTTTATATAGTTGTCTGTAAAATATTTGTAATATCAAATTAACAGTAGTAAGGCTGCTTGTCAGTCAAGCCTTTATTTGTGTTGCCTATCATAATCAGATGCTTCTGTTTTATGGAGTTGTGTTGCAGATATTCAAACTATTGTCATTTGGTGTTGTGCCTCAACCATTCGGAGTACTGTATTTGGTGGATAACCATGTTTTCTGCATTCTAATACAGTGGTCGTTCAATAATTCATACAACAGAAAGACTGGTCAAGAAAGACTGATAAGAAAAGAAATATAAATTCCCAATACATGATTCAACAATCTAACACAATAAAACATACAACCAAAGTCCAGGGGTAGAACCATTCAAATGACATTATGACTCACAAATTACTTCGCAAATTCAACCTTTGTTTGATTGATGTCATCCTCGGTGTATTCCAGATTTCCCCGACGCGCCCACTGAAAATCGTAGGATAAAACCAAATATCTAATAAGCCAATCATAGAAGTGATTAAGTAAATTCCAAAAATATAGGATTCAACACATAAGAACTGATTTGTATGAAGTGCATTATTCGTGATGACTAACACTAAAGAACTGACCAATAATTACTACTCAAACCTTCACTTGCATTGAGTAGTACATATTATTAGTGAACTAGAAGAGGCTCTACTTAATGTTAAAGTCTCTCCTGATTAAAAACACCAGAACTGTACACAAGACATGGCTTGTCATGTTCTTTTAATGTGCTCTATAGGGGGATAGTCTTTACCTTTCACCCACAAAAACAAATACGATGCAGCAACCATTCTTTATTTTAAGCAGTTTGAGTATAAAAAAATAAAATAAGAGCTTAATTTTGAATATATTATTACTTGCACATATACTCCTCTGATATGCTGCATCATATTTAAATATAAAACAAAGGAAAATATAGCTTTTATGTAATTCAAAACCCTCCAGCTTCACAAAATAAAAATACTCTGTACAGCGCTATCTTAAATTAGCTTCAACTTAAATCTGTGTAAAGAGCATGTAGCAGAACTTGCATTTATCCAGAAATTCAAACTAAAAAACACACTCCTAAATGATACACGGATGCAAAGAAGCACATAATAGAGAACACATAAAAGCGACATGCAATTCAAACTTTGCAATTCAGTAATTGTATGATAACATACAATACAATAAATATCCCCAGAATAAGAGAAAGGCACAATTAGTGTGAACCATCCGAAACAAGAAAAACTACATTTAAGACAACAATATTACCATTGAAGCAAATTGAACCTCCTTATCCTGACAGATCTCTTTCATGTATCGCATTACAAACAAGCCACAGTCTACACTCCCTTTTTGCATCGGGATGCCCTAAAAAACAAAAATATTAAGTACGTTATACAGCACTTCTCATTCAACCTGCATTACATACCAAATAGTAAGAATCATATAATACCGCCATGTTCTCCTAGGACACTTTCTTCTTCAACATAGGTGTGTTCATGGTACTCTTGTACAAAACTATAGCACTATAAGGAAACCAAAAAAGATAAATAGAGAAATGTTAAAATTAAAAGTGATAGAAAATACCAAAGATTTTTGTTCATTGAGTCACTACTTACTTATCAACCACTTCAGTCCACTCCTGACTATCTATACGCCGTTTAAGGGGGTCCATGTAGTACACTACCTCTTCATTAGGTTTGACAACAGTCAAAACCCAATGATTCTTACAAATAAAAACATATATGAATTACGACATTCTCACGAACTTAAAGAAATTCGCATTTACATAAGTGTATTAACAAAGCATTACAATGCAAATTGAAGACTAAGTTCACAAGGAAGAAACAATTCAGAACATCAGTTCTTGACATGAACAACTTAAACACACTTACACATCATTGAACGGTATTAGAAAGTGTTTTCCATCACAGGCCCCCTTAAAGCGATCAACAAGCTTGCGTGACCACTGCCCTATGTTCCCACATGCAAGCGTCCCTACCATGCCGGGATCCACGAAAGTGATCATCTGAAGCATTTTGTTTTTTTTCACAAGCTCATACACGCAGCTGCAAGGGTAATTACATGATAGTTATGTCACTTATCCCTAAGAATATTATATCAAAAGGCTTTTAACAATGAAAATAAAATGTTTGTGTGATGACATTCTCACTGGATGTATATTGTAATTTCGCTTCCAGCCATCTCGCCACGAGCGCACAGAGCATGTATATCACTCAGAAAAACCGATAACTTCTTTTCCACCCCAAAGGCATCTTTATTAAGGACAAAAGTATGTGCTCTATCATCAGACAATGCTTCCTTAGCCCACAACCATAGTCGTTCCAACTGCAGTGGATACTCAGCACCAAATTCTACTTGGAACTCTTGGCCACATTCCTCATCTTCTTGAACATGTGCCTTTTTCAATCGTTTAGGGGCCTCTTTCTTTTTGACAGTTTTTAAATTGCTCTATAAAAAGAGTGCACGTGAGTAAATATATTATCTAAAAGAATCAAGTAGACATAATAGTAGATATATATATATATATATATATATATATATATATATATATATATATATATATATATATATATATATATATATATATATATATAATAACCTTTCCTTTAGGAAGCACATCCAAGACTATCAGCTCCTTAGGCCATGCTACAAAAGTTCCTTTGGCTTGTTCAACAGTAAGTACTTCACGGGGGACTGGGACTGGAATGTCATCATCTGGCAAATATCAAAGATTAAAAACATGAGTAATTCTAAAATGTGTGCATTTCATCCTTAGCTTATACATTCAAAATATTAATAACTTGCTCATGCAAACCTTTTATTGCTTCTGTAATGGACACCTTTGCATATTCTTCACCCAGTTTTTCACCATGTAGGGTGAGGTCATACATCCGGGAGAACCCATACACCTTTGCATGTGCAACAATTTTGTCCACAGAACCAACAGTATGATGTGCAACAACAAGGAAGAAACAATTCAGAACATCAGTTCTTGACATGAACAACTTAAACACACTTACACGTCATTGAACGGTATTAGAAAGTGTTGTCCATCACAGGCCCCCTTAAAGCGATCAACAAGCTTGCGTGACCACTGCCCTATGATCCCACATGCAAGCGTCCCTACCATGCCGGGATCCACGAAAGTGATCATCTGAAGCATTTTGTTTTTTTTTCACAAGCTCATACACGCAGCTGCAAGGGTAATTACATGATAGTTATGTCACTTATCCATAAGAATATTATATCAAAAGGCTTTTAACAATGAAAATAAAATGTTTGTGTGATGACATTCTCACTAGATGTATATTGTAATTATGCTTCCAGCCATCTCGCCACGAGCGCACAGAGCATGTATATCACTCAGAAAAACCGATAACTTCTTTTCCACCCCAAAGGCATCTTTATTAAGGACAAAAGTATGTGCTCTATCATCAGACAATGCTTCCTTAGCCCACAACCATAGCCGTTTCAACTGCAGTGGATACTCAGCACCAAATTCTACTTGGAACTCTTGGCCACATTCCTCATCGTCTTGAACATGTGCCTTTTTCAATCGTTTAGGGGCCTTTTTCTTTTTGACAATTTTTAAATTACTCTATAAAAAAAGTGCACGTGAGTAAATATATTATCTAAAAGAATCAAGTAGACATAATAGTAGATATATATATATATATATATATATATATATATATATATATATATATATATATATATATAAAATAACCTTTCCTTTAGGAAGCACATCCAAGACTATCAGCTCCTTAGGCCATGCTACAAAAGTTCCTTTGGCTTGTTCAACAGTAAGTACTTCACCGGGGATTGGGACTCGAATGTCATCATCTGGCAAATATCAAAGATTAAAAACATGAGTACTTCTAAAATGTGTGCATTTCATCCTTAGCTTATACATTCAAAATATTAATAACTTGCTCATGCAAACCTTTTATTGCTTCTGTAATGGACACCTTTGCATATTCTTCACCCAGTTTTTCAGCATGTAGGGTGAGGTCATCCATCCGGGAGAATCCATACACCTTTGCATGTGCAACAATATTGTCCACAGAACCAACAGCAAGCTGTGCCATTTGGCTCTCCCCGGAATCAACATCAACAGAGATATCTTTTTCTGCTTTCTTCTCTACTTTAAGTCCTCCAACTTCCACAAGCTTCTCCACAGTATCAATTTCTTGATCTTCACTCTCATTCTTTTCTCTTTCTTTTTCATTTTGTTTCTCATCAACATGCTCAGCCACAGATAGTTTATGATTACACTCATCACCAATGTCATTATTCTCTGTGAGTGGTTCAAGTTCTGCATCAAATGAGTCCTTTAGAATCTTCCTTGCCACTTGTTGATTCTGCCCACCTTCCCTGAATTTAGGTGAGCAGCTAGCCTCTTGGGAAGGGACAGCGGGACTACTTCTTTGTTTCTTCCAGATCTCTGATTTCAACTTCTCTATCTCTGCCATCCAAAAAGCATCTCTTGAAGCAACAATGTTATTCACCTCCTCTGCCAAAAGTTGTCTCACACCCTCCTTCACTTGCTCATCAACCGTTGTTTGTGTCTTCTGCTTCTTTGACCGCGGGAGATTGAAATACACAGCCTTCCTCACATGCATTCCTTGACCTCGAACTCTTCCACTGTGCTCGGGCTTCCCAAGAGCCTTGGTCAATACATCATCATCACCTTCTTCAGTAAGCACACCAGAGCATACTTGTTCCCTTAAGAACTCCTGAAAAAGAACCAAAATTCTATCAATAAAACAGAAGTGGTATAGAACTCAAAATTTTAACATTACACTAAAGCATCAAAGGAATAGCCATTGGATGAAAAACAACAGGGCTGCTGGGATTAGAGACATACAACAATATTATGTGCTAGAACTTACTAAATTTCAGAAATTATTTTAAAACTTACAATTTCCTCTGCCTTCTGTTTTGTAGACTCACTCTTGAAATTTCCTTCTTTGTCCTTCCTTGCAAGGACCCACGTAACAGATCGATCAATGACTGACTCATCTCCACTGTGTGTTTTTGCCTGCATGTTCATTTAGTGAGTAATGAATCATAGTCAAAATGTACATGTAGAAGAGGAATACTCCTAACACAGAACTCCGCATATATGAGTGAGTACTAACCCATTCCTGTTCCAGGTTTGCATAGCCTTTTCGAGACAAGCGATAAGGATATTTGTTTTCCTTAACTCTCTTCACATGCTCATCATGGACTTTCTGCAAAAAAAAAAAAGGACAGTTCATCAAAAAGGTAGTATTTTAAATAAAGTACAATGGAAACATAGTCTTACCAAGAACTCGGGGCTTAGACAATCAGCAACAAAAATATCCCAATGATTCTTCTCCAAGAAAGAGAAGTCCTCTGGTGGAGTCCTCAGCCTCTCAGGTTCATCTCGAAAGGGAAGAATATATTTACATGTCAGGGTACTCTTGAATTGTTTCCACTTCGAATTCGCCGACTATAGCACAAGTTTTTGTGCAGAAGGGGGTAGGTCGAACCCCAACTATATGCGTAAACATGGGAGGAATTTACTTGTCTAAGTCAGTTGGAAAACACAGGTACATAATTAATGATCAAGTTATTTATTTTGTAAGGACTAGTCAAGTGTTAGTATGGTTATATTTACCGTGACAGATTTCCAAATCTTGTTCTTGATGGTTACCGGAACTTGCCTCCAAGTGTCAAACCATATTGGAGCTTTTGTCCTGGCCAAAACTCCAATATAAGATTGCATCTCTGCAGCAGCCACACCATACGGTTGTCCCTTATCATTAAACAAAACNCTAAGTCAGTTGGAAAACACAGGTATATAATTAATGATCAAGTTATTTATTTTGTAAGGACTAGTCAAGTGTTAGTATGGTTATATTTACCGTGACAGATTTCCAAATCTTGTTCTTGATGGTTACCGGAACTTGCCTCCAAGTGTCAAACCATATTGGAGCTTTTGTCCTGGCCAAAACTCCAATATAAGATTGCATCTCTGCAGCAGCCACACCATACGGTTGTCCCTTATCATTAAACAAAACTGTTGGTTTCTGTCCATTTATCTTACGTTTCACAACGCGGTGCATTGAACACATCCACGTTTTCGGAGTTTCAACCCACCCCCAGAAGGCTTGGCGACACTTTCACTTTCTACTTCTTCCCGCTTTCTCTTCTGCTTGATCTGTTTTTGTACATTGTCAGATATTGGCTTTGGCTTTGGGGTGACGGGCAAGGGAGTAGAATGGCTTTGCACGTTCTTTGACCTTGAGCCACTCAATGCCTGCACCACTGTCAAAGTGCTCGGCCGATCTTTTCTTTTAAGCCTGGGAGATTTTCGGAGCTCGGGTTTTGGGGAACTATGACATTGCAGTTCATTACGCTCTGAAAGACCTTCAGGTTTCTTGTGCCTTGGAGAGGATCGGAGAATTCGTTTTTGGATTGCACGTCCAGCCTGCGCATTCTGTTGAGTGCTGGCCATATTCTGAAAGTGAGTGAAGATCAAACATTTCAGTCTAAAATAAGGTATATATCAAATAAATGCTGCGCATAATGAAAAATTGGGTTCTGCTTCAATTTGTAGGTGGGTTATCACATTCATTTTTTTAGGTGAAATTTCAGGAGTACAGTTTGTGATAAGGGACACTAAAACAGAATTAAGATTAATATTTTTTAAATATATTTAAAAAAGGATTGAAGGAGTATTGAGTTGACTCTAGAAAAAAAATTGTTAATTATTGCTGCTCTCAGGTCACATTCAACGAATTAAGGAATTGGTTGAACCCTTTCTGGAAGCAAGCCTTTACAGATAGTAAATTAAAAAGAATAACAACAAACCAATGAATTGTGACTTCAATTGATTGAGAAATGTAACCCTGACCTCTTTGGGGGGATCTGAGCAACGAGGTAGACGCATGCAAAGAAGAGGCCTTAGAGAATGAGACAAAATTGGGAAAACAAATATGGTGACTATTGTTGGAGGGAATACCAGATTTGAGGTTTACGACTTACCTTATTTTAGGGTTTTCAGCTCCAATGTCGGCAAAAACGGTAGGTTATGGCTCCAGTATAGCAGAGGGAAGTGAATCGGAGAAGAAGGTTGAGTGAGGAGGCGACGGGAGGTAGGGATTGAAGTTCAGAGTAGAGTGGATGAATTGATTGAATTAGGTGAAGTTATTTTTTGGAGGCCTTCTCAATTTTTGGGAGGTACTGGAACAAAAGATACGTGGTGAGCTTCCAGGTTAATTTCGGAGGGTGGATGAATTTTTTGAAATATTTTGGCCAAAATTTTAGAGGGAGTATGCTTGGGACATAGTAGATTTTGGCAAAAATTTTAAAAGTTTTGGCCCCTTCTTTGCCAAAATTTTGCCACGTACAGAGTAGTAGAATTTGGCCAATATTTTGGCAAAAATTTTAAAAAGTTTTAAAAAGAATGTTCTCCATTATTTTTTTCACATGTACATAGTAGATTTGACAAGTTTTTAAAAAAATACTCCTTTCGTCCGAAAATATTCTTCCCAAGTTGATTTGGCACGCTTATTAAGGAATAGTACAAAAATGCAAAATTTTAAAAAATACACATACTTTCCGAAATAAAAGGTATTATTGAATTTTATCTTTAAAAGTATACTAAAAAAGGAAATGGGAAGAATATTTCTAGACGGACCAGAAAGGAAAATGGGAAGAATATTTTGGGACGGAGGGAGTAGTAAAAAAATGTAAAGTTTTTAGTTTTAGAAATGAATTCCTTGTACAATTTACTTTTTTTCGAACGAGTGAAGATTGAGTTAGGTAGGTTATCGGTACATGTAACAGTTGAAGAGTTTGGTTATCTTATATATGGATGGTAACATGCAAGACTGAAACCGAGTTATCGGTATATGTAATAGTATGTCTGATATTCGTAATTATCCTTGAAGGAGTCAAGATTGAGTTAGGTTGCCAGTACATGTCGTAACACTTGAAGAGTTTGGTTATCTTGGTAACACATCTCAGACAGAAACCGGGTTATCGTTATATGTAACAGTACGTTTGATATTGTTAAGTATTCGTGAATGAGTCAAGATTGAGTTAGGTTGCCAGTACAACATGTCGTAATAGTTGAAGAGTTTGGTTATCTTGGTAACACATCTCAGACAGAAACCGGGTTATCGTTATATGTAACAGTACGTTTGATATTGTTAAGTATTCGTGAACGAGTCAAGATTGAGTTAGGTTGCCAGTACAACATGTCGTAACAGTTGAAGATTTTGGTTATCTTGGTAACACATCTCAGACAGAAACCGGGTTATCGTTATATGTAACAGTACGTTTGATATTGTTAAGTATTCGTGAATGAGTCAAGATTGAGTTAGCTAGGCCGGTTGTCGGTACATGTAAAAGAAAGGGAGTTTGGTTATCTTGGTAACATCTCAGGCATAAACCGGGTTATCGTTGTATGTAACGGTATGTTTGATATTGTTAATTATCGGTATATGTAACAGTATATGTACCTGAATTTGGTTACTTTTATATTGAGTAATAAGAATACTTTAATGGACTACGCTATACTTACACCAAATATTGTACCACATTTGTACACCTCAGTTATAAAAAAATATTTTTATAGTTTACATTGACACATATGTTGGTGCGTTAACAAAAATTTACACGGACACAAAGTGTTGGTGTTTTAAAAAAAATAGTTTTACACCAAAAAATATTTTTACACCACTCATCTACCTCCATCCACCACCTAATAAAATCAATGACTTTTATCATGAACTTAACAAACTAGAGCCACTCATCTCCCTTCCCCTCCTTATCCGATCTCGCTGCAAACTCCAGAAAAAAACCCGTCCACCCATCTCCCTTCCAGTCATCTCCCTTCCCTTCATTCTCTCCATTCCCATGGCCCTCTCATCCGAATCTGTTGTTGGCGGCCATGTATCTGAGAACGAATTGATTTTCATTGAAAGCGACGACGATGGTGTGCACGATTCAAAGGAGACTGAAATCATCTATTACCATGAAGAGGAAGACGTCATAATCATTGTTGGGACTGAGAAGACGCAGTTGATGCTAGACGATGGCCAGAGGTATGAGATACTCGCAATGGAGACTTCACCGGGGATCTACAAACCTTGGGATCCGAAGACAGATGTGATGAAGTTCATGCAATCCACTTCAGATGTGAACTCTTCGGTCTCAGAGATCAATTCCAAGTATGTAATTTCATATCCAATTCATAAGATTATCGAATTTCATTTGTAATTTATGAAATTTCTACTTCATTGATACATGTGTGTTTTACTTTTCACGTCTAAAAGTGCATTGTGATGATTATTAGTTGTACTGGCTGATTTTTAGTTGAACTGGCTGATTTTTAGTTGATCTAATCTATACTACACTAATGTGAATATGTGATATTGTGATGATTATTAGTTGATGAACTGGATGATTTTTTTGTATATACTTTCTCTTCATACACAACCAAGGTTGTAAGTTGTAAATCGATATTAAAACTGGCCAGCATGAGTACGTTGTAGAAACTCCACGGAATGGATTGAATCCATCAGTTCATAAAGCTAACTGAAGGTTCCTAGTGTCAGAAGCAAATTCAGGCCACCGGCTGTCAACATCCTTCCATGTTTTTGAGTCTGCGGGGTGTCTAATCTTGCCATCCTTTTGTCGTTCGCTGTCATGCCAAGTCATATCCTTTGCAATATGTGGTGTATTAAAGAAATTCCTCAACCTCGGAAGTAAAGGAAAATACCACAAAACCTTAGCGGGTACCCCTTCTAATTCTTTGCCCTTTCTATTCAACTTCCATATAGACATTCCACATATGCGACATGTTGTACTATCTTCATCTCTCTCGCCATTATACAGAAGACAATCATTTGGGCATGCATGTATTTTTTGATAATCCATACCTAAAGCACATAAGGTCTTCTTTGCTTCACCAAATGGCGAAGGCAGGCAGTTGCCCTTTGGGAGAAATGTCCCCAGCAAAAGCAGAATTTCAGAGAAGCATGAGTCAGAAATCCCATGCTTTGCCTTCAAGTTATATAATTTCACTAGTGCCTTCAGCTTAGTGTAGGTGTTGCATCCCAGGTAAAGGGGTTCAGAATCCCCTTGGACATGGTTCATGAAATCAGAGTATTCAAAAGACCTGTCCTCACCATCTTCTTCGCTGTTTTCATCTGTTCCATCGTCAAATGAGTCATGAACACGTTTATTGTGTGGGTGAGGGGGTTCATCATCTGGATTTAGCTCTCCATGCCATATCCAACATGTATATGATTCATCAATACCATGTTGGAAAAGATGTGCCCTAACTGTTTGTGTGTTCCAGGATTTTGTGTGAACACACTTTAGACATGGACAACTAATTTTTTGTCCCTCAAATCTGTTTTCAGTTGCAGACCTTAACAATTCATCCACTCCTAGTTCATACTCTCTACTTCTTCTATCGGATTTCATCCACGATTTATCCATACGTAATTGAGATAAGACTGGTGACTTACCAGACTCATGTCATGAAGGGTTGCTAGCAGAGTATTACTCCATCGCCGAAAATACCGCAAGGATGAACAAACAGCTAGACCTCAACTATGACTCAATTTCACCCTTGGCTTAATTTCATCCCAGCGCGATCCCAATTTGGGTTTCCACTTTACTCGCTATACCGCAGCTCCCAAGGAAACTGGAAAAGGAGATTGACTTCACCTTTTTTTTCACTGTTATACTTCACCTAATTTTTTTGATGGGATGCAAAATACAAATCTCTACCAAATTTGACTAAATGTACACTAAAAAAACAAATGTTAGATTCACAAATAAAATGACCTATAAACTTCTATTAATTATATATAACTAAATTATACACAAAAAGTCAAACACAAAAAAAATTATGCAAAGAGTTTTGACTACAAAAAAAATTAATACTAAGTATTTCATTAAAAATTCATAGTGTTAAACATAATTTAGTTGTTATAAACAAATTCTATACGTTGATCTGTTAATTTGAAAATTTTGCATTATGGACCATTTTTCTTTAAATGTCACCAAAATATAACTCATACTTACATGAATAAGGGAGATAGTACTATACCCGACCCGAATTTTAAAAAATTTCAGGTTGGATTTGGATTATTTTATTTTCGGTTTTGCTTAGATCATTCAAGTAGTCGGTCGGGTCGGTTAAACTTGGGTTCGGGTTGAATTGTCATCCCTAATAAGCCACAATAAGGGAATACCTTGAAACTTTTTTTTAAATAATACATAAATCCCAAGACATATAATAACATACCAAAAGAAACATCTTAATCTAATAACATTTTGTTCCAAACTTCCCTCCGAAAACAAAACATATACTACGTAATAACACACCAAAAATAACATTTTGGTTTTAATTGGCCACCCAAAAAACCATACAAAAACATCCCATTACAAACACCCCTCCACCATTTTAAGTAATTTGGAATGCAGGCAGTCTTCATTGGTTTACACCTTCTTCTTCTTTTTATGTGTACTGCAGCAACCACTCACTTTCTGCTTTTTCCTTTTGTCCTTCCTGCTGCCTTCAGCCATGGCCACATTACTCCTTGGACAACAAACAAATTTAAACAAAAAAAATTTATGTCAGGAGTTGCTCTTGAATTTAATCATCACGTACTGTAACACAGTTGTAAGAAGAAATTAAACAAATTGGTACTATGCATATAACACATTATCCCAGCATCTCCTTAACCAATTTATCAGGCACACCGAAATTATTTTCATAGGTTAAGATAGTGTCATTGAATTGCCAGGGTTAAACTATAATGCACTTTCAGGAGAGACACCATGGACTTGCCGGTTAAGATAGTTGTCCTGTCTATTTTTTTAAACTGGAATATTGGAAATTTCTACCAGTAAGGCATGTTTTCGACGTAATGCATTTTGAGAAAAATATATGTGAGGCATTAATTGGTACGTTGCTTAATATACCAGGGAAGACAAAAGATAGGGAATCTGTGTGTATCGATATGGCTGAAATGGGTATTAGAACGGAGTTGATGCCCAAGAATCCCGGAAAAAATGAGAAGTTACCAATGGCATATTGTAACATATTGCACAAAGAAAAAAAGGTACTTTGCTCATCTTTGATTGGCATGAAGTTACCTGAAAGTTTTTGCTCTAACGTCAAGAGTCTAATATCGATGGAAAATCTTCGAGTTGTCGGGATGAAGTCTCATGATTGTCATACAATGTTGCATCACTTGCTCCCCATTGCAATACGATCGGTGTTACAAAAAGATGTGCGGTCCACTATTATTAGGTTTTGCCTCTTCTTCAAGGCAATTTGTAGTAAAGTCATTGAGGTCGATAAATTGGAAAAAATGCAATCCCAGTTGGTAGAGACTTTATGTTTGCTTGAAAAACNGTTTTTGCTCTAACGTCAAGAGTCTAATATCGATGGAAAATCTTCGAGTTGTCGGGATGAAGTCTCATGATTGTCATACAATGTTGCATCACTTGCTCCCCATTGCAATACGATCGGTGTTACAAAAAGATGTGCGGTCCACTATTATTAGGTTTTGCCTCTTCTTCAAGGCAATTTGTAGTAAAGTCATTGAGGTCGATAAATTTGAAAAAATGCAATCCCAGTTGGTAGAGAGACTTTATGTTTGCTTGAAAAACATTTCCCTCCTTCTTTCTTTGATATAATGGTCCATCTATCAATTCATCTTGTGAGAGAAGTCGAGCTTTGTGGGCCAGTTTGGCTACGTTGGATGTATCCTTTCGAAAGAGAAATGAAGACATTCAAGGGATATGTACGCAATCGTGCTTATCCTGAAGGTTCAATTCCCGAAGCGTATATTGCAGAGGAGGCAATTAAGTGTTTAGTGAGTTCTGAAGATTGTACAGTAGGATTGCCAAAACGTTTCCAGGGTGCACAATCTAGACCCCTGTCTGGTGCGACGATGATCACACCGACCAATAATGACTTGCACCTAACACATTTGTGTTTCCTCGAAAACTGTGATGATGTCCAACCATACTTTATGTAAGTATTTTTTTTTAAATTTTTGACAGTTACTTCACTTTCATTCTTCTTTATAATATTATTAAAGAATAAAATTGTTTCAGTGAACATATGGGTGCTTTGGTGAAAACGTATCCACAACGTTCTAATGATGAGGAGTGGCTCAAGAACAAGCAAAACGAAACTTTCCCGGGCTAGTTTCGTAGAAAAGTAAGTACAATCTGTCATCATATAGTATTTGTGCAGATTCTTGAATAAAATAGCAAAATTTGAAGTTATTGTACTTGTGGTACTTCGTTTGGACAGATTTCAACAGACTTGCTTGTGGAGAATAATACGGTATCAACGGAACTAATGTGGATTGCAGAAGGGCTTAACAAGGATGTACCCACTTTCAGTGGGTATAAAATCAATGGTGTGACCTACAGCACCAAAGAACGTGATGATATGCGTCAAGTTTAGTGTAGTGGTGTTTGTGTAGAAGCTCAAACAATGCTTGTAGTTGGTAAGGAAAAAAACATCCAGCATGGTACACACACATTTTACGGTGTTATCGTAGAAATTTGGGTGTTAGACTACAGCCATTTTAGGGTTCCCATCTTTCGTTGTAAATGGGTAGATATGAATAGAGGGGTTAAGGTAGATGATTTGGGATACACTGTGGTTAATTTGAACAAATTAGGTTTTCAGAATGACCCATTTGTGTTGGGGAAACATGTCATGCAAGTATGTTACATTGATGATCCTCTTGAGAAACTATGGTCAGTTGTCCTAAGATTACCTGAGAAAAAATATGTGGACATTGATAAAGATAGTGAGGGGTCTTTTGAATTAGAACTCGAGGAAGAGTTGGATGTGAGATTGTGTTGTATTTAGGTGCCCTAGCGGCAATCAAATACCTATGTAACTGTACACTTTATCATGAATGAAAGGCCTTGAAGTATGTTTTATATCTCGTGCAACATAACATAGCTTCAGTCCATAGACGATAGCGCTTCAGTAACATAGATGAGGACTACGATGTTCTGATTATGAGACTGTTACTTCTTGACGAAGGCTATGTCTAGAATATCCCTAGTCGCACTTTATGATAATACGGACGTCATAACGTATCAATACTAGTACGTACGAGATGAAATAGTTGCGTCTCATAGACTATAGGTATTGTGATATCTTAATCTATACGTAGGTGCATATTATATTGATAATATGTGACTGGATTGACCCATCTTGAGAATACTGCATGGATCTACAGTAATGTGTTTATCACTATTCTCAAATCGACCTTGCTATAACTATCCTCAGACTTGAAGTTATTACATTCTCTGATATGTGGGGCCGTATGCTTTGATTCATAACTAATGCTATCTGAAATACTGGTAGACGTACAGTTATGCGTTGGGTATGCCGCTAAGCATATTTAGAGATGTGAATAACAGATACATGATCTGTCCCTTCTACTGTATAGAAGTATAATGTCAATGGGCCCACTGAATAGTAGGACTTGGGAAAGTGCATGGCCATGCCCAGATATGTCGCTATCTAGAGACTGATAAATATCTGATCCCTGCCAGTCTACTTGAGATTCAGTAACAGCTGATTTAACTATACAAGGATACACATCCCATGCCTTGTGTTAAATCATGACAT